AAAAAATTAAAAGTAAAAAATAGTAACAACAAAGAAGGATTCAACCTGAAGTTACTTAGCAATCCGTATCCACAACTTGAAGTTATCAATCCGTATCCACAACCTAAACAAAAAGAAAGTATCCTTTAGATTTTCAGAAATTAATCTAACAGCATATTATTTAAAAATAAAAAACACATAATTTTTTCAACTTCATAATTTACATATCAATATTTAATTTCTGATTATATATAACAAATTATTTGGAATTCAGAAAACCATATCATTATTCAAAAAAAAAATACAACAGTTTATATAAAAACAATTACAGCTTTAGAGTAGTAGAAGAAATAGAAGAAAAGTTTATATAGAAAACCATATCATTATTCAAAAAAAAATACAATAGTTTATATAAAAAAATACAACAGTTTATATAAAACAATAGTTTATCAAAACAGTTACAAAAAATAGAAAAAAAGAATTACCTAGAAAATTAATGAAGCTTAGACTGCTTAGTGTAGTTCACGATGAACAAGACTGCAAGTCTGCACAGTGCCGGCCCAAGCCCAGAACTAGGGATGTCAAAAAGTCTCGTGGGACCCCGATCCCATAGGGGCCCGTCCCGTATGGGGGCATTTGTTGAAAAAAAATTGGGGACGGGGGCAGGGTCGGGGGCAAGGTTAACCCCCATTTTGATTTCGGGGGCGGAGGCGGGGGTTGGTAGTCCCATCCCGAAACCCCTGTGAGGGCCCCGTTAATAAATTATATAAATTGACATATATTAATTATATAAATATAATAAAAAATAAAATGATTTTTACGTACAAAAATTCAACAAAAAACATGTTTTTAAGTTGTTTGTATTGTGTAAAATTATGTTATTTGTTATCCAAAAAATAGTTTCTTTTAGCAAACAATAACTTCTTTTAGCCCAAATAAGTTAGCCCAAAATCAATCGGGGGCGGGGGCGGGGTCAGAAGGGGAATTCGGGGGCGGGGGCGGGGGCGGGGTAACGGGAAAATTTTGGGAGCGGGGACGGGGGATGCAATCCCCGTCCCGTTTGCCCCCGTTGACATCCCTACCCAGAGCGAGTTGGGCCACGGCCCAGGGTAGCAAGGTGTAGTGGGGTATCAATTTAAAGGATGTTATAATGTTATTGTATATTGGGCTTTGGTTAGTCCAGTAAAATGTGAAGACATAAGACATAAGGGGCAGGAGACGGGCAACCTAATTAGCACCATCAACACAACACAGACGCATATCGATTCTTTAATTCATCTTTGTCTCTTCGATCTAAAACACACGTGATACGCCAAAGATGAAGAACACGAGGCGTCGGGCGTCGAATGGAGAGGACTGTTACAGTTTACACCCTTGGCTATATCGATCGACGATTCGACGATCGCTCATAAGTCATCGCGCTCTGCCTCTCTCGCTATCGTCCACAGTCGAAAGTCCACTTCAGCTTTCAGCCTTTCTCTCGCCCTTTCTCTCGTTAACTTCTCGCCTTCTCCTATGTTCTTTCTTTCTGAATCGACCTCTAGTCCTCTACTACTCTAAAGTTGTAATAGTTTATCTATTGCTGTAAATCTGTTGTGTTAAAGTGAAGATTCAAAGGTGCCAAATTGGGATCGATTGAATTTGTCCTCTTGAAGTCCTAATCCTGTAATCCAGTAAGTTTTAAATATTATTTCAAGTTTCTTGCATAACCTACTTAAAATTTCAAAAATCTTACAGTGATTACTGGTTAAAATTTATGAAATTTCAGTTTTCTTATATAGGTTACTGCCCAGGGAAGGGAAATTTCGATCAAGTTGAAGTTGCAGACTTGCAGTCTTGTTCATCGTGAACTACACTAAGCAGTCTAAGCTTCATTAATTTTCTAGGTAATTCTTTTTTTCTATTTTTTTGTAACTGTTCTGATAAACTGTTGTTTTATATAAACTGTTGTATTTTTTTTACATAAACTGTTGTATTTTTTTTGAATAATGATATGGTTTTCTATATAAACTTTTCTTTTATTTCTTCTACTACTCTAAAGTTGTAATTGTTTTTATATAAACTATTGTAATTTTTTTTTTGAATAATGATATGGTTTTCTAAATTCCAAATAATTTGTTATATATAATCAGAAATTAAATATTGATATGTAAATTATGAAGTTGAAAAAATTATGTGTTTTTTATTTTTGAATAATATGCTGTTAGATTAATTTCTGAAAATCTAAAGGATACTATTTCTTTTTTTTGTTTAGGTTGTGGATACGGATTGATAACTTCAAGTTGTGGATACGGATTGCTAAATAACTTCAGGTTGTATCCTTCTTTGTTGTTACTACATTTTTTACGTTTAATTTTTTTTGTGAAGTTTAAATATGTTTCCTAGAAAACAACCATCTGGTGCTAAAAATAGAAAAAGAAAACAAAGAGAACAAGATCTTACTAATAAATTACAAGGATCTTTAAATAAGTATTTTTTTTAGAAGTGAAAATAATGATGAAAATTCTAATGATGTTGAAACTAATGATTTTGTTGATAATTCTAAAGGTCCAATTGAAACTTCTAATGAACCTATTGAAAATTTTAATGATCTTGAAAATAATGATTTTGTTGATAAATCTAGTGATATTAATATTTTTGATCCAAGAGTATGGGATAAGTTAGATTTAAAACTGAAAGATTTGCTTGTAGAAAAATGGTCTATTAGGGAAATTGAAAATAACAATTTTTTTCCAAAAGATGCACTAGGTAGACATTTTTCTTGTGAATTTTATGTTCGTAAATTAAGAAATTGTGACTCTTATGATAGAAAGTGGTTGGTGTATTCGAAAGAACTTGATAAAGTGTTTTGTTTTTGTTGTAAGTTATTTATAACAGCTCGATCTAGAAGTAATTTGGCAACCGAAAGAATTAATGGTTGGAAACATCTTAGTGAAAAATTGAATGAACATGAACATACTTTTGAACACATGATTAATTTAAAAACATGGACACAAACACGACTTAGGTTAAGGAAAAATGAAACAATTGATAAAGAGTTACAAGAAAGAATAAAAAAAGATACTCAACATTGGAAAGAAGTTTTGATAAGAATTATTGTTGTTGTAAAATGTTTAGTTGAATATAACTTGGCTTTTCGTGGAACTAATGAAAAAATATATGAGAAATCTAATGGTAAGTTTTTAGGTGTACTTCAAATGATTGTTGAGTTTGATCCCGTAATGAAACACCATTTTCAACTTATTCAAAAAAAAAAGTCATTTTCATTACCTTAGTCATAAAATTCAAAATGAATTAATTGAAATATTGGCATCCGAAGTAAAAAGTGCAATTATTAGAAAAATAAAAAATTCAAAATATTTTTCGATAATTCTAGATTGCACTCCGGATGCAAGTCGTAAAGAACAAATGACTTTAATTATTAGATGTGTTGATGTTACAAGTGTTCCAATAAAAGTTAAAGAGTTTTTTTTAGAGTTTTTAATTGTAGAAGATACATCTGGTTTAGGACTTTTTAATGTGTTACAAAATGCTTTAAAATCTCTTGACTTGGATATAAATTGTATCTGAGGATAAGGATATGATAATGGAGCAAATATGAAAGGCAAACATCAAGGTGTACAAAAAAGATTACTTGATATAAACTCAAGTGCTTTTTATATGCCTTGTGGATGTCATAGTTTAAACCTAGTTTTGTGTGATATGGCAAATTCTTGTCATAAAGCTAAAACTTTTTTCGGTACGTGTCAAACAATATATAATGTTTTTTATAGCTCTACACATAGATGAAGTGTTTTACTTGATCATGTTGATGAATTAACCCTAAAATCATTATCTACTACTCGTTGGGAAAGTCACATTGAAATTGTTAAAGCAATAAAAACTCAACTTTTTCAAATAAAAGAAGCATTAACAAAATTAGCTCAAGTGAGTGATGATGGTAAGGTTTGTAGAGATGCGGAATCACTAGTAAATGGTGAATTTTCTAATTTTGAATTTATTTTAAGTTTAGTGATATGGCATGAAATTTTATATAGAATTAATTTGGTAAGTAAAAAATTACAATCCAAAGATATGATTCTTGATGTTGCAATAAAAAACTTAGAGGGATTAGTTAATTATTTTGAAAAATATAGGGAAAATGGGTTTGACTTTAATATTAATGAGGCTAAAGAAATAGTAGAAAATATTGGAGTTGAACCAAAATTTCCTATCAAACGTGTTTATAGTAGAAAAAAACAATTTGATGAAATTCCAAATACCGAAAGAAAACAACAATCTTCTCAAGAAAATTTTAGAACTGATTATTTTATTATTATAGTAGATATGGCTCTAAATCAACTGAGAAGTAGATTTGAGCAAATGCAACATTTTGAATCTATTTTTGGATTTTTGTTTGATGGTTTAAAGTTAAAATCCTTATTTGATGATGAATTAAAAAAAAAGTTGTAAGAAACTTGAAACTAGTTTGACAAATTGCGAGGACCTTGATATTGATGGAAAAGATTTATTTATTGAGTTACAAGTTTTGCAGGAAATGTTATCGGATGAAGCATACAAAGGTGAACTTCCTTGGATAGTCATTCAAATTATGGAGTTTGCAAAGGAAATGGACATGTTTCCCAATGTGTTGGTGGCGTATAGGATTTTGTTGACGGTACCGGTCACGGTTGGTTCCACGGAAAAAAGTTTTTCAAAATTGAAGTTATTGAAATCATATCTTCGGAGTACCATGACTCAAGAAAGATTAAATGGATTAATAATTGAGTATTGAAAGTTAATTCCTACGAAGTCTTGATTATGATAAAATAATAGATGTTTTTGTTTCAAAAAATGTAAGGAGACATCGTTTTAGATAAATTTTATGTATACTTTTGTTTGTGTAACCTTGTTTTCATTTGACTATAAAATTTATTTCATTTTTGCTATTTTTTTTTAATTAAATAAAGGCATAATTTAGAATCTCGCCCTGGCATTGAAAATCAATGGATCGGCCCTGATTCCATTTCATCCTTTCCCTATGAAACGAGACGCAATACATCAAACATGCAACTTCCACCCCGAACCTTCTCATGAAACCTACAACTACGTTGCTTCTTCCTCAAGACCAAAATCCATACGTGAAAACAATCTTCTATATGTGAACTTATATCATCACAAAAGCTGATGTGGAAATATCTCACCAAAGATATGAGAAAACATGTAACATCCTTAAAAAATTTCAAATAGTAGAACTAAGGTTGGAACCTGTTACATGAAAATACAAGTCATAAGAGATTGAGAAATTCATATAAATGGACAAGATTCACCCCTAATCTTGAACAAATATCATTTCAGCTTCTGATGATGCTCGTTTAAACTTTGTTAACTCAATCAAAAACTTTAATCTGTCCTCAGTCATATACACACTTGGGGTGATGCTCATAGTCTCAAGAACAGGCGAATTTCCAAGCATAAATCCTATGAATCCAATTTCATGTGGAACTCCAGACATATCCATCATTTTCACCATCTTCAAATGTTCAAATTTGCACTCAAACTCACATTCCTTCTCCCAAAAATCCAAATCCGGAGCTTCTCTTGCAGATGATGAATTCGATGAACCCTAAAAATCATATCCAAAATAAAATTAGAGTCGAATCACAAATGGGTTGCTTTTCATCTTCAAGATTGATAAAGATTCTTTAAACTCACAGCAATTTGAAGTTCTTCAAGATTTGGAGAATTTAGAATCAATCGAAGAACAACTTTTAATTCTTTCATGTGCTCAAAGCTTACTTGAGAGAGCTCAATGAACTTAAGCTTACCATACTTCATCTCTGTTTTTCCAAAGGTGTTGTTACCTATACTCATATACTGAATAACATACAAAAAAAGAAAAGTGCTTCAACAGTTGATAAAATCAACAAATGAAGTTGTATAATTATATCAACATCTTACTTCTGTAAAATAACTTCTACCAATGAGTCTTTGAAGAGAAGGTAAGTTTCCAAGAAACTTGTCAAACTTACAACCTGAACTTTGACCGAAATGTTGGGCTAAATCATCGGTCATATACATGGAAACAGTTATAGCAACTAATTTTGGAGCATATTTAAGAAATATGTCTTTAATCTCACCTTCCAAGATTAAAAACTTTAGATTTGGTGAACAAATTGTAAGTTCTAAGCTATCATAATACGATAAATTCAATGTTTCAAGAAGAATGCAACCAGTGATAAGATTCTGAAGAGCTTCTGAACCAACAAGAACTTGTTGAAAGCTAAGGTGTTTTAAATATGGGAATCCTTTAAAAGATAATGGAGGGTTTAAAGCCCATCTAAAAAGCTCCAAATTAACCAGCTTTTGACATGAAAAAAGACAAGTAGGTGCTTTAAACCACTCGCCACCTAATTCAAGAACCAATTCTTTAACATCTTTTCTTGATAAGAAAAGCAGCCATTGATCTAAATCAGGGGAGGATTGTAAATAAGCTGTAGATAGAACAAATCGATTGATAGGGCCATGGTGAAGTAGAAGAAATCGACTTATAAACTTTGCAAGTGATCTATCTCGGGTCCCTGATGCACATTTATCATTGAACACAAGGTTTGTAAGTGTAGCCCATTTGTATCTCCATTTAGAGGATAATATACTTGTTCTTACAGCATCTCTTAATGGCATCTTTGTGAGTATGGTTTCAATGATACTTTGAGGAAGATCAGTTATATAGTCGACTCTAGAGGTCATTTTTCTTCGCATTTGTCCCTCTTCCCTACAAAACAATGACATAAAAAGAGTCTCTTTAGGGTTCCAAATTCTTAATCTATAATATTGAAAGGCCAATTTTGGAGGTCGAAAAACTCGATGAGTTCCATTGTAATAATCATTAGGTTTAGGGTTCCACATCCCTAATCTATAAACCAGTGACGAAAATGGACTCCATATAAATAAAATCAATTACGCATGAATATGTGTTCGTATGAAATCAAAACTTAAGCAGAGTGAGTGACAAAAGAACATAATTCATACGATTAAAGAAAACAATAGCCCTATAAGGGACATGATCTACAAAACTCGAAAAAAAAAAAAAAAAAGGTATCAAAGAGGGGTGGCGTCGAAATGAGATTATTTTTTCTATCCAAATTGCAAACTTGAGAGAACCCACAGAAGGAGAAACAGTTATGTTGAAATCTAGAAGAAAATGTGATCATATCAGAAAATAACAGTCGCCTAGCTATTGCAGAAAGAAAGAATTTTTACCAAATTAGATGTGAAAGAAGGAGATTCGTGCTATGATTAAGACCGATGATCCTTGATGGTTCTGATATGAGAGGGAAGCGAAAGAGAAGAAGGATGAAAGCATCTAATACAATATGATATACACCGTTATATACCCATTTCCTTTTTTTTTTTTTTTACGGACGACCGGTCTAATGAGAGGCGACCGGACAGGTCTAAGACGATCAATTCTAAAGCGGTCCAGACGGTCATAGGTCAAACTAGGTCCGATATAGGGGCAAAAACCCATTACCCATTACGGGGTTATTTTTACAATGTTATGGGTTCGGGAGCAAGGTAAGTGGGGCAAGGAGTTTCGTTCCGCATTGTAAGGTATTAAACTGGTAATACTTTGATGCCAAGCCCAAACAAAAGAGGAACAGGAAAAACTATGACAAAAGATTTTATTGCTTATCTAAACTAAGGAATACATGTCCTTATTTATACTAATGAAAGCAGTAACCTAAACCAATACGTAATACTTGTTAAGCAAGTAGACAACTTCCTAATCTAAATCAAATACATAAAATAAAAAGGTTTTTCCCAAAATACCCCTACACTCATAAATCCGATTAACCCAACAATCCCCCCCTTAATCGGATTGATCATACCTCTCGTTCACAAGAGTGTTGAATCATCGTCTTTCCGAACCATCCCGACTTTTCCTAGACACCCGACCTCCATCTTGATCACGTCCAAAGTCGTCCAACCCCTTTGATTCTTCACAACACACGTAACATGTAACATGGCATCATGTTGGATATGTTCATTACCATCTACACTTTTCTCGGATGCACGACCTCTCCCCGGCCAGATCCAAAATCATCTGATATGAGCTTCCACCACCATAATGTTCACAACGTGTTGTTTCTCCAATCTCTTCATTTGTTCCGATTACCGTTCTTCAAATAGGCATCTCTACTGACTAAGAAAACAAAGCCACCCGCTCCACCGTTTTCTTTCAATTTGTCAAACGAACTGAATCTAAAGCTACCTGCTTTGACGGATCCTTCTTACCCCTTATCACGAACAAACCGATCAAGAACCATGCAATCCCTTTAACTTTTCTGCTTTCTGATTTCAACCGATCAACATCCTATTATCTCTTTTCACCACCCAAACCTTTTTAATCAAGCTTGTTCCGAGAATAGGCATGAAAATTTCACCCGACCCGATGGGGAACCCGGTTAACCCGCCCGAATCGTGGACGGGTATTCCACGCAAAAATGGGTGTCAGGGATCCCTATATGCTAAAGTCGGGGATGGGGTCGGAGCTGGGTATACCAATCCCCAACCTACCCCATCCCCACTTTAATGACATCATATATATATATATATATATATATATATATATATATATATATATATATATATATATATATATATATATATATATATATATATATATATACACACACACACACTAGGTTATAACCCGTAGGAACCACAATTATAAAATAATTAAATATTTATTAATTACTAATAAATTATTGTAAATAAATTATTAATTAAGATATATATTTTTGTATTTATATAAAATTATAATCGTTGATTTAAATGAAAATGTGAAATCGAAAGGATAATATTATGCTTAATTTAGATCAAGCTGATTTCCAGTCACTCAATTTAGTAGATTAGTACAATTTAATTTTGACTTTTTTAATTTTGACTTTTATTTTTACAATTTAATTTTCAAATTTTCAAATAAAACAATGTAAACAATTGTACAATATACTCAATATATATATATATATATATATATATATATATATATATATATATATATATATATTGAGTATATTGTACAATTGTTTACATTGTTTTATTTGAAAATTTGAAAATTAAATTGTAAAAATAAATAGGTGTTATGCAGGGATTTAGTATATGTGAAGGGATTGCATAAAGGTGACGTGATTGTTTAAAATTACATTTATTGATTAAGGGTTATTGTAATAAATTAGGCAACAGATATTACAAATCAATTTTTTGCCGACATGTTTCATCTGTGTAAAAGGGATGATTGAATTAGTGGAAATATAATTAATGAGAAAAAATCAAAGACTGATAAGTGGTAAATAATTAATTTCAAGCTCTAATTAATTGGCACGTGACAAATTTGCTACTCTTTTATTAGGTAAGGATATATATATATATATATATATATATATATATATATATATATATATATATATATATATATATATATATATATATATATATATATATTAGTATATTAATCTATTGAATATGAAATAAGTGCACTAAGAATGAATTGATTTTTATTAGAACATCAGAGACAAAGTTTCTATACCAAATTATGTTCCTAATTCCAAGAGTTGTTAAATCAGCATTTTGTTCGACAGTCCGTATACTAAATCGTCACTTCTTGTTTTGATGCTAGTTAGACTTTATGATTGATATGATCATTATCTAATTATGGCCTCTGTTTTTATCACTTATTAAACCTGTTTTTTTTTTTTTTTTTTTTTTTTTTGTGTTTTGCGTAAGTTGAGTTTATTATCTTGATAGATCGGGGATGGGTTAGGGATAGGTCGGGGAAAAGCCCAAAATTTAAAGGGGAGAGGATTCGATTCCCCGCATCCGTTGGGGATGGGGATGAAGATGGGGACGAGGTTAGACACTCGGGGATGGGGACAGGGATGGCCAACCCCGTCCCATTTCTATCCCTATCCGAGAACACTTTTTCACCGAACAACAAGACAAGTTCACAACCACCTTTACCGACTGTCGTCACCCGCAAAACGAACGGAATCAAATTCACTTGCTTTGACGTCTTCTCGTACGTTTATTTCGCGCCTCCAGTTAGTCTATCTCTACCTTAGAACAAGTTTGGTCAAGAAAAATTGGGGTTGTTGTTTAGATGTTCAACTCGTGCTCAAAAACAATGCACACACCCTTAAATTGAACCTGATTCCCACTGCATTAGCCCCACAACGTAAGGTTACACTTTTTCTTGTAACCAACTCTCGAACCAGCCGCCCTACGACTTCATGAGCCCTAGGCTCTGATACCAAGTGTAAGGTATTAAACTGGTAATACCTTCATGTCCAAGACCAAACAAAAGAGGAACTGGAAAAACTATCACAATGGATTTTATTGTTATAGATCTTTATCTAAACTAACGAATACATGTCCTTATTTATACTAATTAAAGCAATAACTTAAACTAATACATAATACTTGTTAAGCAAGCAGAAAACTTCCTAATCTAAATCAAATACTTAAAAAAAATTCCTAAAATACCCCTACGCTCATAAATCCGATTAACCCAACACAAATATCCCGCATGGGCCCCAAAATAATTATTTAATATTTAACTATTTTATTTATAAAAATAAATATTAAACTTAGAGTAGCCATTATGTAATATATATTTTGTATATGGATAACTAGTGTAATATGTAAGGTTTAACAAAATAAACAAGTGAAAAAATAAGGTTAAACGGAAGATTTTGGGTCAGATGGGGCTAATGAGGGATTAAGGAGCTAATGAGGGATTAAGGAAAACGGAGAAACAAGGGCGGGATCGGGGGCAGTCTTGAAATTTGGGGGTGGGATCGGGGTAGGTAAATGGGGGAACTCGGGTCAGGTTCAAGGTCGGGGGAAACAGGGAAACAGACGAATTTCGGGGCGGGAAGGGTATTTATGCCCTCATTTGGTCTTATTGATATCCCTAATCCCACAACAAGCCCTAATGGTTCCTACTTGCTTAATCATTATTTCTCTTCAAAAATCTCACATCTCTCGGCAGGCTTTGATTGGAACACACTATTTGAGAAATGTAGCAAAGCAAACCGTACCATATCGATCTGGAATAATTTTGTGCAACTCAAACAAAAACAAGTTATTTGTTGGATGCAATCAATGTCAACAAGTTATATATTAACAAGATTTTGGAAGAAGAAACGGAAAGCTAGACCTGTCATCATGTAATAACTCCGATGTGGAAGAAACTGATAAAGACGTCATTGTTGACACTAAAAAACGACCTGCAAATTACACAATAAGTACAATATAACAACCACAACCATGATTACCCCATATACCGACGACACTTGCAAATTTTGGAATTTCCTTCCACGTATCTTCGTTTCAATAATATGTTTTTGTTTTACAAATTAAGTTAAGTTATAAAATAATAATTTCTAAGCTTTTTATATTAATGAAATATTGAAGTTTTATATGTTAATGTTATGAGACAAAACTGTCCAAAAAGACTTGGGTTAAAAAACATAGAATCAGAAAAAAAAAAATAAATAAATAAATAAATAAAAATAAAAAAAAATAAAAAAAAAAACAAAAGTAATAGTTTTGATTATTTGAATTATTGTGAGATCGATCTAAGGTTATTATAAATGCATGGAAATAGCGTGGTGTATTAGGAATATGAAAAAAAAAAAAAATACTATTGATAGTAATAGTCAAATTGGTATCAATGCAAAATCAATCCTTGGAAAGATTGGCATGTACCCTATATGTTACAAACTTTCAACCACACATGGAGCCTTGAAAATCTATAGACACTTTGTGAAAAGTTTGGAATTGTGGCTGACATATACATAGAAACAAAACTCTCTAAGCAAGGGTAAAGTTTATCTCTTGTTCATTTTTTTAAGTTTAAATATGAAAATAACCTCATCCAAAATGTATCTTCTTTTTGGGTTTGGATCAATAACATGCAAAATAAATAGTGAAAAAATAAGGTAAATAAGATTAAACGGAGGATTCGGGTCAAACGTGGTTAACAGGGGATTAGGGGAAACAGGGGAGGGATCGGGGATGGTCTTGGAATTCAAGGATAGGATCCGAGGGTTGGTAAATGGGAGAATTCAAGGTCAGGGAAACAAGCAAAAAAAAAATTTTTAATTATTTATTTATTTATTTTTGGGTGGGGTGGGGGGGGGGGGGGGGGGGAAGCTATTTATACCCATGTTTGGTCCCGTTAACATCCATAATCCTGCAAAGGTTCCTACTTGGCAACCATTTTTTTCACCTCAATCACTATTTCTTTTTAAAAATCTCACATATTCTTTCTAAAATTTCATCTTTTACCAATTACTCATTTTCTAGTTAAACAGAAAATATCAAGAGTCAAAAAAGTAGTTCATGTGTCGGTCAGTCGGGCTTTGATCCAAGCGCACCATTTGAGAAATGCAACAAAGCAAACTATACCATATCGATCTTAGAATAATTTTGTGCAACTCAAACTAAACAACAAATTCTTTGTTGGATGCAACGTCGACAACTTATATATTAAAATGAAATTTTGGAAGAAAAAAATGGAAAACAGGACCTATCATCATTAGGGTGGTAACTCTCGACCTAACCCATAACTTGACCCAACCCGATGGGTTTGGGTTGAGATTTTTGATCCACCAACCCACTAACCTCGTGTGTGTGTGTATATATATATATATATATATATATATATATATATATATATATATATATATATATATATTACAATTAAAAAATGATATATTTAGTTATTAATGAAATTTGATTTCCATCCGTTTTCGTAATATTTCGTATCATAGTATTCCTTCTGTATTTGTATGTGACTAATGTGCGTTTGCGGTTCGTTAATCAAAAAAGAAAAAATACATGTCATTATTTTTTAGATATCCACAAGTCACGAACGAAGAATTCATTCACTTTCTATGAATGTTTTCATTTTTCATTTTTGTTTATATGTTATTGAATTTATGAATTTATGTTGAAAACCCATTTTTATGTTAATTACTTTAATCATTTTATGAATTTATGTTGAAAAACGTTACTTTTTAAAATGCATTGCTTATTTATTAAATGGGTTATATGGTTTGGGTTTGACCCATTAACTTGTGAACCTGCGAACTCATATACTTAAACGGGTTATATGGGTTGGGTTGGGTTGAGGTTTCCAACCCACCAACCCGTGACCTACCAACCCATATATTATATGGGTTGGGTTGAGTTTATGTTTTCTGACTCGTCAACCCGCCAACCCAAACCCAACCCAATTGTCAGGCCTAATCATCATGTACTAACACCGCCTAATCATTATGTACTAACACCGATGTGGAAGAAACTGACAAACTTCATTGTCTGACACTCAAGAACCGACCATGAATAGCCATAATAGCAACGACACTTGCCATTTTTGGAATTTCCTTCTGCATATGTTGTTTCATTAATATGTTTTTGTTTTAAAAATTAAGTAAAGTTATAAAATAATTTTTAAGTTTTTTGTATTAATGGTGTTGGTTATTTGAATTATTGTGAGATCAATTTGAGGTTATTATGAATGCATCTAAATCGAGTGGTGTATAAGGAACATGAAAAAAATACGAATGATAGTAGTACTAATGATGATATTGATAGTCAAATTGGTATCAATGCAAAATCAAAACTCTAATGAGTAATCCTTGGAAAGATTGGCATGTACCCTATATGTTACAAACTTTCAACCACACATGGAGCCTTGAAAATCTATGGACACTTTTGTGAAAAGTTTGGAATAGTGGCTTACATATACATAGAAACAAAACTCTCTAAGCAAGGGAAAAGTTTATCTCTTGTTCATTTTTTTAAGTTTTAACTATGAAAATAACCTCATCCAAAATGTATCTTCCTTTTGGGTTTGGATCAAGAACATGCAAAAACTTCATTATTATTGAGAGGATAGCATGTGTTGAAGAAATATGATTTCAGCTCCATAAACCTTAATGCCATCAACACAGAGTTCATAAATCCATACAAGTCTTTGATTTGCATATCAGCATGTAACAAGTTACAATCATGAGATAATAAATGTTGTAAAGATCTACACTTGATCTTGAAGAAATATGATTTCAGCTCCTGATGATGCTCTTCTAAACCTGAGTAACTGAATCAAAAATCTTGTTCTTCCTTCAGTCATATAAACACTTGGAGTGATGCTCATAGTCTCAAGAACAGGTGAACTCCCAAGTAAAAGCTCTATGAATCCCATTTCATGTGGAACACCAGACATATCTGTCATCTTCACCATCTTCAGCCTTTCAAATCTGCACTCAAAAGGCCATTCATTCTCCCAAAAATCCAAATCCCTAGCTTCTGTTGCAGATGTTGAATTCGATGAACCCTAAATATTCAATCCCAAATCTCAAAAGTGTTACTTTTCCTCTTCAAGATTCTTTAAAGTAAATCAAGATTCTAAATGAATACTATAATCCAACATAACTCACCGAAATTTGAAGTTCTTGAAGATTAGGAGCATTTAGAATCAATCGAAGAACCACCATTATTTCTTTCATATCCTCAAAGCTTACTTGATACAATTCAATAACTTTTAGCTGTTTGTATGTCATCTCTGTTTTCCCAAAGGTGTTGCCTATACTCATATACTAAATAGAATCATAAAAAACAAAAGCACAATCAATCAATCAATCAATCAAATAATGCAAGATACAAAAAAGAACATTTGTAAGTGCTAAACTTGGATAAAAATGTTACCTTTGTAAAGTAAATATGTCCAATGAGTCTTTGAAGAGAAGGAACACCACCAAGAAACTTATCAAAATTACAACTTGAACTTTGACCAAAATGTTCAGCAATATCATCAGTCATGTACATAGCAACAGATATAGCAACCAATTTTGGAGTATTTTCAAGACAAATATCTTTAAACTCACCTTCCAAGATTAAAAACTTTAGATTTGGAGCACGAATTGTGAGTTCTAAACTATCAAAATACGATAAAGTCAAACTTTCAAGAAGAGTGCAACCCGAGATAAAATTCTCAACAGCTTCAGGAGCAATAAGAACTTGTTGAAGATTAAGGTGTTTAAGATATGGGAACCCTTTGAAAGATAATGGAGGATCTAACTCACATCTAACAAGCTCCAATCGAATCAATTTTTTACATGAGAAAAGACATGAAGGTGCTCTAAACCACTCGCCTTCACCTAACTCAAGAAGCAATTCTTTAACATCTTTTCTTGATAAGAAAAGCAGCCATTGATCTACATCAGGGGAGCTTTGTAAATAAGCTGTAGATAGAGAGAATCTATTGATAGGTCCATCATGAAGAAAAAGAAACCGAGTTATAAATTTTACAAGATTGGTTTCTGCAAGTGATCTATCGTGGGTCCCGGATACACATTTGTCATCAAACTCAAGGTGTGTAAGTGTAGCCCATTTGTATCTCCATTTAGAAGATAATATACTTGTTCTTACAGCTTCTCTCAATGGAAGTTTTGTTAGTATGATTTCGATAATACTTTGGGGGAGATCAGTTATATAGTCTTCAAATTCCATATGCATTTTGTCGCTTCTTCCCTACAAATCAATGGAATCGTGTTTTATCAACAAGTTAACTCGTTTATCCAAAAGAAAACTAAGGAAAAAAGGAAAGTTGGAGGTGGATTTGTTCGTTGTTTTTGTTTCTTAATTGTAGCGTCCTCATCTATATTCAATTTGGATGTTAAGACGTTAAAGAAAAGATTCAAATTTTTGCCTAATTGTAAGACACTAGGGTTTATACGCAATGTATTGAGAAGAATCGCTTTGGGGTTTCTTAATTCCTAATTATAAATTCAAAGGCAAATCGCCAAGCTCAGATAAACAAAGAATTTCAGTGGAAAGAGTTATGAAATTGATCAGGATATCACTCAACAATGTGCATATGTTCATACGAATAAAAACTAACAAAAGAACACACATGCAAACTATTCGAAAAACCGCAACACCTATTAGGACAAGATCTGCAAGATAAGATAGCAAATTATTCAAACATTTTAGTTATCAAACATGGGGTGTAAGTGAATTTGGGATTTTTATATCCAATTTGAAAACTTTAAAAGAACCCAAAGAAGGAGAAACTATAATGATCAAACCCATTTGCAGAAAAGATAGATCCTTACAAATTAGGAATCTAAATGGATTTGAAAAAAGATAAAAATTAGAACAAATTAGGTGTGAAAGGAAGAAGATTCGTACCTAAGATTAAGACTGATGATCCTCGATTTTTCAGGTAAGAGAATGAAGTGAAGGAGACGGAGGATGAAACTATGAAAGCATATAATACAAGATATGCACCGCTTTCGTTTTTTAGAGCGTTGGTGTGGGCAACCGCACCTTACATGCCATATAATGTCGTATAATCAAGTTGTGTTATACTACTGCAAATATTTATTTTTTTAAATAAATGGTTTATTTTTTATTTTTGTTTTCGAAATTGGGGTTTTTATTTTTTACTTTTTTTTCTTAACAAAACTTAAAAAATGGTATCTGTGATTTCACAAAATCTGAAGTATGATCCCTAATTTATAGAAACCTCACTAATGGTCCTTGTAGTTTCAAACTTTTAATGTTTAATCATTCCGCTTAACTTTCTTAGCTTTCTACCGTTAAGTGAAATGCATCTTCGTCATTTCAATACCCAGGGACCATTTATGAGATTTTCTCTATTAAAAAAAAAAGAAAAAAATATATATAATTATTTAATTAAAGGGCCCCATCCTCTCTCTCTCTCAAGCGGAAAACGAAGGTTGCTACCCTATGTTCCAGCCATGTTTCTTTCTTCTTTCTCGATGACAAGCTAGCTAAACAGCCATCGATCTTCCTATTGTTGCCTCCCTTCTTCTTCTTCAATTTTAATCGAGAAAATCTCCATCAGAGGTGGGGTTTTCCGACAGTCAAGAGGGCAACAGCCCCCTCCCATTTGATGAGAGTGGAAAAGACACGAACGGAAGAAATTGACAGGACCTCCGGCGATGATTTCGATACTCTTCTCGATTATCTCCCTGGTGCGTTTTCTTTATATTTCCTTTGGTTTTTGATGTTTTGTTTCAAATGCTTGGAAATATTTGCAAGTTTTGCTAAGGAACAATTGAGGGTTCAATTCCGATCAAGGAATTTTATCATTAGCGGTGAAAGAAAGCTCCAGCAAGACACATGGGGTCGATTGTAGAGTTTTCAGTTTCTGCAAACTGTTATCTCAACAAAAATCAGTGCAAAGTTCGAGGGAAACATTCTCTTCGTTAGGCAACCCAAATTGATCACTCTAGAAGCAAAACCTGTAGAAGAAACTTCGCCGACAGTTGCAGCGGCGACAGTGCCAACGCCTCAAAAGCCTGTTGATGTACCAAATGTCGGTCAGAAAACTACCAATGAAAAACTCACTCCAACAATACAAACAAATACAGGGAACAATTTGAGGAAAGATCAAGAGGTTCTTAAGATGGGATTAGAGGAATCGAGCAAAAAACACGAAGATAAATTTTGTACCACTAATTCATCTCTCCAACAAAAATAAATTTTTTTTCTTCGAATGATAGGAAATTAAAGATAGGAAAAGAAGAAAGAAAACGCATAAATCTAAAAATAAAATTTGTACCGATGAGCATGATTTATCTTCGTGTTTTTTTGGGGGCTATTTGTTTTCATCGAATGATAGGAAAAGAAGAAAGAAAATGGGGTTGTTGTCCCTCTTGTTTTTACCGGAAACAGCTCCCCCGGTGGAGGACTTTGACAGTCAATGAGAGAGAAAGAGAGAGGGTGGGGCTTTTTAATTAAATAATTATATTTTTTTCTTTTTTTTTTAAATAAAGAAAACCCTCATAAATGGTCCCTGGGTATTGAAACGATGAAAATGCACCTCAGTGAAAAGCTGATGTAGTTAGGCAGAAGGACTAAACATTAAAAGTTTTGAAACCACAAGGATCATCCATGAGATTTTTGTAAATTAGGGACCAAACTTCAGATTTTTTGAAACCACATGGACTATTTTTTAAGTTTTGTCTTTTTTTCTTCGTCGGTTTTTTTTTTTTTTCGTTTTTGCATTTTTTTAATCACTAACATGAATATTTTTTTTATAAAATATAAAATTTTAAAAACAAAAAAAAAAGACATAATATTTAAAATCTAAAATTACGATTACAATTAAAAAAACATAATTTTAAACCTAATATTATTACTAAAACATCATTCAAATTACTACTAAAACCAGATAACAATCATAATTAACCCAAATGTTTCTTCCTAATTTGTTCCTTCAACGCTTGTAGCACCACTAGATCAGTAGGCGACAAACCCTCCTTGTTCGTCCAAAGAATTGACAAGTGGAGTGTCATTAGTTCCCTTTGTTTTTTCTCCTGCTTCTTCCGTGCCTGCCTTTTCAGGAACTTCAAATGACGACGTTTCAACTCATTTTTTTATTAATAAATTGTGGTCGTCAAATTTTGCTCTCATTTCCGCCACCTCTTTTGCTCTCGTCTCCACCTCCTCCGCATGTCTTGCAGTGTGTCTCGCTTTGTCGCATCCGGGCGGTCGTCGTGGTGGGGATATCTCTTGGATATCATCCAGGATCTCATCGTCGACGGTATTTAGGTCGATATTAGTCTGTGCGTCCAACAAATCGACCAATCTAGAATTTCGAGACCTTTTGGATTGAACCTCCGACGATGTAGGGGTTTTTATTCCACTTTGGATCCGCTCGCAACGATTCCCATGATTTTTCAAAGTCGAAAACATAACCCATTTCAACCCAATATTGTTCCTTAGCAGATTTGAACAAATCGAAGTCGTTGGTTCCGCTTTGTTGTTGCGCCTCAAGCCGGTTGTAAATATCGTTGAATTGATGCACCGCTTAGTTATTTGACCTCATTTGCTGCTCAACATGTCATTGTTGCGATACAGATTTTTCTTTAAAATAGAGTGAAACTTGTCAATCACCGCCCCCCCCCCCCAATAAGCTCCTTTTTTTCATTCCATTTCCGCGAAGTTCGTCTTTTGAAGTAGCACACCAAGTCGTCGTCAAAGCGTATTCCTCCTCCGATGTCCACCATTGTGGAACGTCTGCATTTTCTGTTTCTACCGCTATTGATTTCCCTTTCAATTTTCCTTTCCCTTTTCCTCTCCTATTACCTCCCACTTCTACTTCAACTGATTGTTGTGTCGTAAGGGATGGTTGGTTGGTTGTTTGTTGCATCGAAGCAAAAGAAAAGGAAAAAATTTTGTTGTAAATCTGGGTTTTGACCAAATTGAATTTGTTGAAGGTAAGGTGAGTTGGGAAACTGTAGTGGCAGTGAAGCGGGATTGAAAGTTGCGCCTTGGTATGAGATTTTTGGTGAACATTGAGACGATAAAATGTTGAAATAACTTTCATAACCCACAAATCCAAGAGGCGAGGTTGTGTTTGAATTTGATGATGGAGGGGGGGGGGGGTGTTTGGGTTTTGCTCCATTTTATAAAATTTTAAGAAAATATGTGTATAAGATATAAAAAGAATGAGAGAAAGGTTTAAAAAATTTGTTTAAAAGTAGTATTTATAGGTAAAAAGGTAATTTTTTTTTGTTTGAATACTGACCGTTGCAAACGGTCATAATCCAACAATAGTAACTTTTTTCACGTTTCAATTCATTTCGATGGCCACGAGATTTGAATGAAGAGATGCAACGAGTAGGTGCGGTGTTGCCCCCGTTAATACGGCATTGTGCCTTGCAACATAAACCTTGTCTCTTCTCGTTGAGGCCCATACCGGGTACTCTTAAGCGTGGGCCATCAAAAAGGGCCTAATGGTACCAAAGTGTCTCACGAGTGTTCTTTTTAAAAGACTATCTTTATGAATTATGAGTTATGACATTGATAAAGCTTATAAAAGCAAAATAATTGAATAGTGTTTCAAAGGGAAAAACAAATGAAATAAGGGACGTTACAACTGACATATTTTAATATAGTACAATTTTTCTTTGAAAAAAGATATTATGAGTTTATAACTATACATTGATCCCTATTACAATATGTAACGTTCTAAAAATATCAAGTAAAAATTTCATTTTTAATAATTTAACCATTCGTTCAGTTGTTCCAAAAGATAATAAGAGTAATAGTATTCTCAAAACATCATAGTAAAATCACAAATAGCTAATACGGAATAAACTATGAGGGATGCAGTGCAATCAGTCATAAAGCTTAGTGAGTTCCTCAAAATACCTGAAAAATGTTTAAACCACAAACCATTAGCATAAAGCTTAGTGAGTTCCTCAAAATACCATATACCATACATATCAACGGGCTCAGCCCCACATATCAATGGGCTCAGCCGAACATATCAATAGGCCCATTCCAACATGCAAGTGGGCCCAATCCAACATGCATACCAATAGCCCCAACCCAACATACAATGCAAGAGTCACAAAGACAAATAACATCCTACAGATTATAGTAAGAAGACTCACTTGACTCATGAAATCAACAAAACCACAACTCAATGCCATGCAACAGATATTATAACCCTCCTATCAAAACATACAAGGTCTAACCTTAAACTACACACTATAACAAACAATCATGTCCGAAAGTCAACAGTCAAAACTAAGGTCACAATTGCAAATAGCGACCCTCCACGTTGTAGCCTCCCTTGGCCATGTTGTGGGCATAAAACGCCAAACACAGTCGAATCCTTGCCCAATCGCCACACCGTGACAGCCTAAGGTTACACCATGGGGACTGATCTGAACACCTTAACATATTAAGCTTCTCTCCAACAATTCCAAAAGTTCTAAAGCTCAGATATGTCATCCCCATGATCTTGATGGATAAAGTTTACTTTATCCATTAAGGTATCTCGATAAGTCTAGATCTCAAACCTTAAGTCCTTAAAGGAAACTCAAGGCATGCAAACACCCACTAAGCACTTAATCACTAGAGTACTCGTCCAAAGTTTCCAAAAGGGTTTCCTAAACCTAATGGACCACAAAATCAAAGCATTAGGTACATGCATGTCCAATGCATGTCCCTTTTATTTTAGGTCAAAAACATGGAAAGTGAGTACTCAAAGCTTGAGCATGGGACCAAAACTCCAAGGATCCATAGATCTAAAGCATTTAACACCAAGATGGCCACAAGGATCCATAAAGTTGCCAATTTTATGGAATCCAACCTTCCAAACTTCCAAACCATAAAGATTAAGGAATAAAAAGCCTAGATCTTGAAGCAACGAAAAAAAAGATTGGATCTTCGACACTTATAAAGGTCCAAAGAATGTACAAGAAAAGGATGATGAATCTTGCTTGTTGGATCGATGCACCAAAACACCTTCTTCTTCTTCTTCTTCAACAAATAAACCAAAACACTCTAAGGGAGACTAGGGTTTCGAGGTAGAGGGTTGGAGGCTGGAGAGGATGCCCTAATCTTCTGGAAATGTTGCTTGAATATGGGAGGAAACCCTAAAATTATGGGCTTGGGCCAGAACAGCTGCCATGTTGTGGCCAACCTATCGTCATGTTGCGGCGCTCATTCAAAACATGCTGTCCATTTATTTTTGACCACGTCATGGGCATCCTTGCACCACGTTGTGGCACCGAGTTTTTCCCAAAAACTCCATATTTGGTCTTTAATGAAAAGTAAGCTTAACCAATCTGGAACACGGGTGTTACACAATAAGCCAACTAACAGATAATCTTTGTTCACTTTTTAGGAGTCTTCTGATAATAACATATAATTTTTCTTTAAAAAAAGATAGAATAAGTTTATAGCAACACCCTTTGATTTCTCGAAAACATTGCAAGATAATAAATATTATGCATGCAAGGGTGGTTGTTCAGAGCATCTTCAAGAGGGTGGGCGATAGGGGTGTTCAATAATATCTAAATTTGAAAACCCAAGTTTTGATTCAAAATATGAAATTCTAGATATCTAAATATGAATTAGTAATTGTGTAAAGTCCCAAAATATCAAGTAAAAATTTTATTTTTCAATCATCAAAATCATTCAACCATTTTTTCAAAAGACAATCAGAGTGAAACATGTTTTCAATATCAGAGTAAAAATCATAAATCAACGATGCAGAAATAGAAATTCAGGGGATGAAGTGCGATCAAGTCAGACCCTTCCCATTAGAACCATAAGCGGCTGAAACATTTAAAACATGAAACTGTAAGCAGTAAGATTAGTTATTTCCCTAAAATACCACATATAATACATATCAATGGGCCTAGCCCTAATGGTATTTCAGCCCCAGTGAATGTTATGATCCAACCATAGTCTTACAATCACTTTTGTTGTTGCATCCCAACTATAGTTTTCCTTGTTATGATCCAACCATGGTCTTCTATATAAGTGTTGTGATCCAATCACATTCTTTCATGCAAGAGTCACAAAAACAGTCTAGCATCCTACATAGTATAGTGAGAATACTCACCTCACAACACCGTTGGCAACTAACGAGCTCACATAGTCGAAAAGAAGGTGATACACACCTCCTAATGAATCATACATGGTAAACCCTTAGTCTACCTTTGAAAACTAGCTATT